TTTATTTTTCTTCTGCTCCTCTGAACAGGATCCCAGCTTTCCTGCAGGTGTTTTGGGGGATGGGGTGGCACCCCTTGGCTCACCGTCTCCTCCTCCGTGAGCTCCTCCTCACCCACCTGGCCACTAAGCAGATGTGCATGCAGCTACTCCCCCTACCAAGTAGGGGCTCCCTTGTCTCTGGGCTTCTAGGTGGGTCAGCCTTCGGGGCTGCTCAGGGTCCCCTGCCGCTCCCTCCTTCCAGGTGTCTATGACTTCCCCTCCCCGCCCCTTCTTGCCCTGTCTGGGCTTCCCTCATACTTGTCCGCAGGTGGAGTGTTTGCTGGAAGCACTTTCCCAGATACACTGTGGTCTTTATCGACGTGGCATTATTCACGGGCCCATTAAGACCATCAGCATCTGGCTACCGGGTACAGCTGGCCTCCCCTTTGTGTCCTCCCTTCCCCCGCTGCCATGAGCAACATGGTGGCCACCAAGTTCATCGGCGTCCCGCACCCTCATCTTCCTCGTCCAGCCTATTCGCGCATTAAAACCCTTGCCACCCACAATCATGCCCACCCCTTCCCTGCCTCCCACCTGTCCGTGCCCCCCCAGGGTCTCCTCCACCCACTTTGGCCTCCGGAGCCCATTCTCCCCAGAACAACCGGGCTGCTGCAGAAGCAGGGAGCAAGCGGCCTGTCCCCGCTGTGGGAAGTCTTGTGGAGGTAGCCCACTTAGGGGGAGAGTAAAGCCCCGCCTGTGGCTGATGGGCTCCTCCCCCTGACCCTCCGCCCGCCCCCCAGCCCAGCACCGGCTCTGACTGCGGCCTCCGGCCTCCGACCTCTGCTCTCCTGCTCAAAACGCTCCCTCCCAACGCTGCACGGCTCTGACACGTCCCAGGGGTGAGATGGCCTCCACACACTCCCCCCGACTCTGTCACCCTGTTTCTCTTGTTCCGGAACCCCGGGTGAATGCATCAGACACCTTCATACCTGCCTCCACCCCTTTCGCCTCTCTTCCGGGATGTCTGTCCACGCTGCAATCTGGTGAATTTCTCCAGCTCTGTCTCCCGCTTCACCGATATCGCCTTCAGCAGACCCTGATGTACTGTCATAACCCATTCATCGACCCTTACAGACTCTCCCGTCTCACCCCCACCCCGTGATACCGCCCCCACCCATAAGTGCAGCGTTTTTACGTGTAAGCTGAGCTTTCAGAGTCCTTGTCTGGGAGAAGGTAAGCTCCATGAGAGTAAGAGCTCTTCTGTGTTTTCTTTCCTGTGTTCTCAAGGTTTGAAACTGGCTTGGTCATCATTTATTAAGTGAACAAATGAGCCAATATCTGAACCTTTGGCCTTAACCGTGAGAGGGTTCCCTGCCACGTGCTGCACGGTGGGTTCTGGAGCTGCAGTGGCGGCTAATGGCTCGGGAGCGGCAACAGTGGTGGTGCTCTGAGCTCGTACACCAAGAGCCCGCTTCCCACTCCAGTCCTCCTGGAGCATCTCAGACACACCCCGGGGGCTAGCAGCCCACCTTCCCAATCACACCGTCCCCTGTGTACCTGCCCTGCGTCAGGAGGCTGCCTGGGTCCCTGGCGACCACTCTTCCTCTCCCTGTAGGAGGCCTGCCTCCCTGGCCGCTCCTGGAGGCCTGCTGTGCCTTCTGTGCCCACCTCGGCAATGTGTCTCGGGCACACCGCTGTTCCAACCAGGGAGGTGTTTGGGACGCAGGCCACGTGCAGGAGTTTCAAAGTCCTGTCCTCCTGCTGGGAGCAGACACTAGATAAGCACTGGTTCCAGCGAGGGCAGCCTCCTCAGCCTGGCTCCTGGGAAGAGTAGAGAAGGCTGGCAAAGCTGCTGGCTGGAACAGGCAGAGGTCATCCAGCTGGCCAGTGCCCGGGCCCTACAGGAGGCCACCGACCCAAGAGGCTGAGCTGCCCCCCTGATGCTGCATTGGGGTTTAACACTCGTGAGCACAGCAGAGGTCTGCCACCAGCACGCCCTCTGTTGCCAACTGTGCCCGTGATCCTGTGTCTCTTCTGATGGAAAGATGCATGCCCAGTTCCTGGACCAAGGGGAGCCCGGCAGCCCCCACACCCATAAGGGAACCTCTTGCCAGCAGGGTCCACACCTGCCCAGTGCCTCATCATGTTCCCACACCTGGGTGGTCTAATCTTAAGTCAGGCTGAAGAGATGAATGAGTTTTTCAAAGAGCCAGAAGTCCATACTGTCCAAGCAGAAATCCCAGAGCCCTGACCTGCAGGCAGAGGGGCTCTCAGTGATAGTGGGGGGGGGGGCATAAAAGGGACTTTGAGCCTGACCCCTTCCTGCCTGCAACACAGCATGAGTCCATTACACCAGTTGGAAGCCTGAGGCTTTAATTCATTTAAAAAACGGTGGCAGACCAGGAAAGTTCCAGCAGACTGTCAGGTCCTCAGGAAAGGTTGTCACGGAGCCCTTCTGGAGTTCCAAGGTTTTGGACAACCAGTCCTCCAGGATTCCTCCCCAACCACACCCAGCCGCCCCAGTTGTCCGGAGTTCCTCTTGTACTAAGTTCCTGCCTATAAAGATGCAGCCACCATAAAGCATTTGTGGTGTGTGTGTGTGTGTGTAACGGCATGCCAGGCTTATACGGAGGGACGCCCTCCCAGCTCTCAAGGCACTCATCCTGGGACAGTCCACAAGTGGAAGATGAACACAGACTCATTTTCAACTCTGAGAATGACAATGCAAATAACAGGTTCTGATCACCACTGCAGAAAATCGGGAAAACCCAAAAAGCCACAATCTTCCCCACGAACACTGATCACCACTGTAGAAAATCGGGAAAACCCAAAAAGCCACAATCTCATCCCCACGAACACTGATCACCACTGTAGAAAATCGGGAAAACCCCAAAAGCCACAATCTCATCCCCACGAACACTGTGGTGTTCATACCCCTGCTTTAAGAAGCCGCACAGACAGCGTCACAGGTAGAGGGCACCGGGTGGGGGCGTTCTGTCTCTGCCTCCCTGACTAAAGTATTTAAGTATTTCCACCATCATGGTCACCAGGGGTGGCTCTGGGCCAGACGGTGGGACTCACACCCGGGTCCCCTCCCATAGCAGCTGCATAACATCTGTGCCTCAGTTTCCTCAGTGGTCAAATGGGAATGGGGACAGGACTGTCACATCCCAGAAGGGCTCGAAATGCTGGGAGTGTGCGGCTCTACTAGAACAGCCGGTGTGAAGCCTCCATTTGCTCGCCGTGGTCACCCCATATTTCCTCACGTGGCCCCCACTGTATTCCTTGCCTGGGCGCGACGCTGGCACACACCAGCCTGGAGTGTCAGGCAGCCTGTCCTCCTCGCGCTGTCCCACAGCGCAGCGTGCCAAACGCTGAGGTCAACGGCTGTCGATCTCCTGCCCGCCTACCAAAGGCTGCCTGTCCTCACCAGGGACTGCCGTGTGCTCCCTGAACATGGTCACGTCTCCTCCCCCACCTCATAGGTAGGAGGGCCCCAGGCGCTCTGCCTGGCAGGACCAGCTCTCTGTGACCATACCCAGTACACGGTCAGCTGGTTGAGGACACACAGGCCCTCTGGGCTTTCCCCGAGCCACCCCACAGGGCAGGAGCATGTGCAAAACACAGATCCTCTTGTTCTCTCCCAAGTGTGGCCTGGCTGTTTGCAGCTGCAGAGCGAGCCACAGCTGGACGGCCGGGCCTCGCAGGGAGGGAGCGGCATGGGGTCCCCTGCCGGACGCAGCGGCACCCCGGATGGCGGAGCCCCAGGGCCAGGGAAGAAGGAGGGTTTGCTTGGACTGGACTTGTTTCAGGAAAACCACTTGTGGACAACAAAACACAGACAGGAAAGGAAAGAAAAGCAACTGTGTAATAATAGTGTGGATACAAAGAAACAGACGTCAGAAAAGCTTTTCCTACCTCCCAGGGCAGCATCTGGTGACCGACCAGAACCACCGCCAAAAGGATGGGGCAGGACACTCCTCCCTGGGCCCCCAAATCTCGATGGCCTTTCTTGGGGACCTTTCCCCACCTTCCCTGCCCCGCGGGCCGAGTGGGTCGCCCTGGTCACGGCCTCCCACCGGCCTGGGTCCCCAAGTGCACGGCGAGCCCCGGGGCCAAGAGCCGCCCCGCCCCGGAGGCTTGCTGTCCACGGTCCCACTGCTGGGTGGCAGGGACTCGGCGGGGAGAGCGCGCTGCGGCGGGGGCCGGCCGAGGATGAGCGGCACGCCACGGCCGGTCGCGGCGCCCCGGCGACCCCGCACGCAGGACCCCCGGCCGCGGTCCGCCAGGGCCCGGAGTGGGGGGCGGGGGCACCCGAGGCCCACGGTGTGGGCGCGGGGGCGCACGGACACTCTGCGGGGTCGGGGAGCCTCCGGGGACCGGAGGGGCGTGGGGCCGGGGCGCTAGGGCGTCGGTTCCGGGGACCCCGAGGGCAGGGTCAGTGAGCGGGGGGCGGGACACGCGGAGGCCCCGGGGTCGGAGCGTGGGGACACGGAGCACGGCGGGCGTGCGCGGGGTGGGGGAAGGGTGCTGGGCGGGAGCGGGCGGCCAGGGACGCGGGAGCGCGTGCGGCGCACTGGCCCCCGGAAGAGGGGGACAGGGACGTGCGGGGTCCCGCTCGGCGGCTCCCGGGGGGCGGGGCGGCGGGGCGGGGCCTGTGCGCAGGCGCGACGCGCGCTCTCGCGGGCCGCGGGCCGGGGCGAACGCGGGTCGCCGGCAGGGAGCGCGCGCGTCCCCGCACTTCCGGCGAGGGCTCCGCGGGCCGCGATTGGGCTCGAGGCGGCGAGCGCGCGCCCGCCCAGCCAATCGGCGGCGGCGGCGGGGTGGGGGGCGGGGCGCGCGGCGCGGGGGCGCGCGGGGCGGGGCGGGGCGCGCGGCGCGGGGCGGGGCGGCCGCAGCCTGGTTGCCGCCCGCGGGCCTGTCCGCCGCCCGCCCGGCCGTCCCCGCCGCCGGCAGCCATGTGACCGCGCCGCCGCCCTCCGCGCGCCCGGCCCGCCCGCCCGCCCGCCCGCCGCCGCGCGTCCGCGGCCCGGCCGCAGCCCAGGCCGCCGAGGGAGCGGGCGGGGCCGGCGCCATGGCCGAGCGGGGCCGCCTGGGCCTGGCCGGCGCGCCCGCCGCGCTCAACACGCCGGTCCCCATGAACCTGTTTGCCACCTGGGAGGTGGACGGCTCCAGCCCCAGCTGCGTGCCCAGGTACGCCGCCGCCCGGCCGCTTTGTTCCCGCGCGCACCTGCCGGACACCCGGGACCCGCGCCCGGACCGCTCGCCCGGGACCGCCCGCCCGGGGCCGCCTGCCCGGGCCCTGCGCACTGCGTCGTCCCCGCCCGGACGGGCCGCCTGGCCCCGTCCGCTAGGGACCTGCGCCCTGGGTCCCCGCCCCGCACTGTCCATCGGGGACCTGCGCCCCCGGGCCGTCCCCACTGGGGACCCCACCCGGGCCCTCGCGCTCGGGGAGGGGGCAGCCAGGACAGTGCTGCGGGCCGTCCCCCGGGACCTGCGCCCAGAGTCCCCGCGCCCCGGACCGCGCGCCTGGGACCTGGCACCCCGGGCCCCCACCCAGGAAGGTTCACCCAGGACCCGCACACGGGACCGTCAGCCCGGGGTCCCCCACCCAGGGCCTCGCGTTTGCGCCCCCCCTCTCGGGCGTGCGCTTTCTGTGGGAGCGACCTCTGACGCGTGGAGGGCCCCCGAGGTCCTGGCGCCGCGGGAGGGAGTGACGCCGGCTCCTCCGAGGCGCAGGGAGCTCACCTGCTTGGGCTCCCAGGCGGCATCTGCACCTGTCCAGGGCTGCGGTGCTGGTGGAGTTGGCTCAGGTGTCTCCTCTCTCCACTGCTGTCAGATTTCCTTTTGCGGCCAGCCACTCTGTCAAGCTGGGCGTCCTGAGAGTGACCCGCGGGCCCGCAGTGTCCGGAGGACGCCTCAGGCTGGGACCATGATTGTACTGTTTCACCCGGTACACGCCTCTTTACTCGTGGACTCGGGGGCCTGCTCGGTCCTGCTGGCCCCTGCTGGCCCCTGCTCGGTCCTGCGGGCCCCTGCTGGCCCCTGCTCGGTCCTGCGGGCCCCTGCTCGGTCCTGCTGGCCCCTGCTGGCCCCTGCTCGGTCCTGCTGGCCCCTGCGGGCCCCTTATCTGCTCACACTGGGCTTCCTAGTTAGAGACACTGTGTGTCCGTGAGCAGGGCACTTTGCACCAGGCTGTCAGTTTCGTCTTGGTGAAAGACTGCCCACTCCCTTGACCAAGAAGCGCCTGGACCCCGGTGGGCGGAGCTGGCGGAGCTCTAGCCCCCAGGCCAGCGCTCTAGCCGGACCGACCCCACTCGGACGGGCCGCTGCGCTTCTCTTGGCAGCTCGGAGCTCTCTTGGTTTCTTCCTGACTTGGTGGTCGCCCATGATGGAGCCCTCAAGCTGGGGGGCCAGACTCGCACCAGAGTCTGTTCTGAGTGGACACCAGACCTCAAGGGCTGCGGGGAAGAGCGCTCCGTGGGGTGAGGGCCTCAGGAGTGCCGTCCAGGCACAGGAAGTGGGTGGTGAGCTGCTGGGGGGCCACACGCAGGCTCATCCTGCAGGTGTCGCGGGGTGAGGTGTTGGGGGTTGCGGTCCGTGGGGCTTGCCCTCCACGAGTGCGGGGCTGGGAGGTCAGAGCACTGCTGTGCCAAGTGGACAGACTGGGCCCTTAACCCACCCGCCAGTCTGTATGGGGCCTCCTGTGAGACCTGAGGGTCAGTGTTGCCAGGGCTTGGGGCGGAGGACTCCTGATGCACCTGCTCGCCTCTTCTCTGGGAAGTCCCTGGGCTCGCAGCCAAGCTCAGGAGCATCTCCCTGGGCCCAGCCTCCTTACCCTTTCCCATCCTGGGCATTTGCCTTAGAGTCGAGCCTCACAGCCCAGGGTCCCTGAGGACTTTTCCCCCTCAACCCCCATGCTTCTGTCTCTCCCCCTCTGCGTTGTCACCACCACCACCACCCAGTGGCTGCCGTGTGTCAGTGCCCCCCCAAACCACACCTGTCCCCCTCCTTGCCTCCTTGTGTCACTGCCCCCTTGCTACTCCAAGTGTCCCCAGACGGGGGGTGGGGGCAGACTGTAGCCCATCTTTGCCGCCCCTCCTCAGCGGCTTCCTGGGGCTCCCCCAAAAGAGCACTGAAATTTACCTGGGGGTGGTGGGGGCTGGTAGCAGGAGATGCCAGGAGGGTAGGAGCTGCATTTAGGGGCCTTGTCTGCCCCTCCTGGAGCTGGTCTGGGAAGTCCACTCCAGTGAGCGTTGGGGGAGGGTGTGGGGTGGGATGTGGGGGCTGGGCGGGACAGTACTGGGGTTGGGAGCTCCGTGGCTCTGCCTGGATGGGATGTAGGGATGGGGGTGGCAGGTTGTGTCCCATGGCCATCGAGTTGTCAGGATAGGCCGGCAGAGTTGATGTGTTGACCGTACAGAGCGTTGGTTGGAGCAGATGTCCCCCTACTTTCCTGGCAAGCAGAGACCCTCCCTGAGAGGGGGTGCTCGTCCCCTTCTTGTGCCTCCTGCGCGTGAGAGCCCTTGGACGGGCTGTTCTCAGCGTGCTCCTGGGACTTTCTGTGGAAGGGGTCACACTCCCTCTATTCCTTTGAGTGTCTTGTTTTTGCCCAGTCTTTACGTTTTGGAGTGATGTCGCGCCAGTGGCTGTCACTGCTGTGTGTGGTCCCTGCTGTAAGGGGACCGGGGGCTTGTGTCCAGGCGGCGGCCAGTCTTGTCTGTGCTGCTGTCGGCACCTGAGTGCCGGTCCTCTGCACGTGTGTAGCCGCGGGCGGCCGGCCTGGCGTCAGCATGTGCCCGTAGTGGGGTTTGGGGGCTGTGATCGTGCGACTCCCAGGCTGCTTCATGGAGTGTGGTCGTGCCAACTCCAGCCCCCACTGGCGGGGATGCCCGTCCCCAGCGTGCTGCATTCTTGCCAAGGTTTTGCCTGGCTTTTAATTTTTGCCCGTCTGGTGGGTGTGAAGTGGTGTTGTGGCTTTTATTTGAATCCCTCTGATCACTAAGGCCATTTGCACGTCCTTGTCACTTCTCCGGCCAAGTTTTCTTTTTGCTTCTCGTTTTTGTTTTTCTCCTGGACTTGAGTCTCAGCATCGCCTTCCGGGGACGGTAATCCCTCCCCGGCCAGAAGTGCTAGAACAGTCTTCTTCCAACGCTGTGAATTTCATGGCGGTCTGCAAGGTCTGTGCCCCTGCCTTCGGCTGGGCTGGCTCTTGTTCCCTGCTCTGCCCTTCTGGTCACGGTGGCCAGCTCCCTGCTCTCCCCAGGGCCTCCTGCCAGGGGTCAGGGCTGTAACTCGAGGGAGGCCTGACTGCGTGGGTTTCCTCGAGAAAACCTACCGGCAGCGCTCCTCCCCAGTGACCATCAGCAGCTGTGTCCCACCCTTCCCAGCCGCCTCCTGCGCGTGCCCTGCTGCTGGGGTTCCTCAGGCAGCCTCCTGGGCCCCCACCCTGCATCTCAGCAGGTCCTGGGTCCTTTTACACCATGAGCTTCCTACTCCTGCTGGACATTAGTCACCAGTTTCTAAATGCTGTGAGGCCGCCCGTCCTCTCCCGTCCGTGGTGTTCACTCAAATCTTGGACGAACTCCTTGTGTGCATCCTTGGTGTGTTTGCGGGGCCTGGTTGTGGGTCTGCGTGCGGGAGGGATGTCCAGCTGGCAGTGCCTGTTTTGGCGATGCTGTGCCCGCCAGCCACATCCCGGCGAGACGACACACTGCTCTGCGCCTGCAGGCCGGTCCTGCGGTTCCCATCCTGGTGCCGGTGGCATGCGGCTCCCGAGGACTCCACGGCTCCCCCCATCCCATGGCGTGGCACCCGGTGCCGCGGCTCTCAGCAAGCGTGTGGGTTGTTGGCAGTTGGAGGCTCTGGGGCTCAGAGCTGCTGCGACCGCCCGTCCAGGGCAGGACTTGGGAAGTCGCCTGCGGCCGCTTGTCTTCTGGAGGAGCGGCCGTGGGGAGGTGGGCACCTGTCCGGTTCGGGAGGAGCCACGGTGCCCTGCGGTGGGCTCACGGCCGGGGCCATGCTGCTGGCCACGCTGCCGTGCGGGACTGCCAGCCGTTCTGACCACTCCTGTGCCTGACGGGCGCGGGTGTCCAGCATGACAGACGGGTGTCATAAACACTTCTGAGCGTCCTGTGACTTTCCTTGACCCGCTGTCACGTCATGTAGCGTCACCTTACGTAGATGGGTTTTCTTGCGTTACGCGGACCTTCTGTCCCAGAGGAGGTCACGCAGCACCACCCTTCTCGCTCGCCGGTGGGCTTAGGTGATCGCAACCGGGGACTCGTGTGTGGATGCGTAGGGTTTGCGAGACCCCATGGGATGTGCTTCAGAGCGAGGGCTCGTCTGCTGTGCAGTGGGTCATTGCCGCGAGCCTGGAACCGTGCGCCCTCTAAGGGTTTGGGAAAAGTCTCCCGGGAAGTCACCGTACCTTGGGGCTGCTCCGTGGGCAGCACAGCCTGGATTCAGGGCTGTCAGCATAGGGCGCTCCCCCCACCCGAGCTAGCTTCTTAAAAAACATGTATTCCTAAGAATTTGTCCGCTTTGTCCAGATTTTCAGGTTTATTGGGACAAAGTTGCACATACTGTTCTTTTATTTTTTTAGATGGCTACGGGATCTGTGCGCTGTCCCCTTCGGTTCCTTCCATTGCTTGTGCCGGTGGACAGGGGTGGGGGCGCTCGGACGCGTCTCCCCGGGGCTCCTCACTGTGAAAACGAACGCTCATTGTTTGTTTCCTGCCATTTCTGCTTCTCGGGCTTATTTTGCGGTTCTTGTTCTCATTTCTGAAGACAAACGTGTGCATCCTTAATTTTTTCCTTGTTTCCTCTCGTGCAAGCTTGTACACGGATGGTCGTTCCACTGAAAATACATATTTCTTTCAGTCTCCCGCCGCTCTCTCTTTAATCTGTCGGGATATGTCGGACTTTCTTGATAGACAAACACGTGGGGTCTTTTCTAGTCACTTTCCCGTGACCCCGTTCATTGTCACTCTTCTTCCCACGGCTCTTCTCTTAGTCGTGCTCGGTTGGAGAAAGTGGTCAGTGTGACGGCAGGTCCTTAGGGTTTTCGGAACTTGCCTTCTGGCTCCGTCTGCGCTGTTTCCGAGCCTGCTCTGTTTGTGCTGACCAGGAATGTGTGTCTGGCAGTGGACGGTGTGTGAGGTCTCTCCGCGCACATCGAGCCTGCTTCGCTG